AGTTTATTAAAATATTTTAATTTTTGATAAAAGTAGATCAAATATGAATTTATAAAATTTTAGCGGACAAATTTGTCTGCTAATCTGGACGGTTTAAGGGATAAGTATTTTTTTTATTAATTATAGGTTGTGTTTGACTGTAATTGAGCATTGAAATTGGAGTTTAAGATAACAGATATATTTAGATGATTAAGGAGCTGAATAATCTTGAAGTTAAGTATATATTTGTTTAAATTATCTATAATTGAAATATGTTTATAGTTAACTATAAGTTGTTTTGTAGTTGTTATAATCTGATGTAAATTGTAGTTCTTAAAAGATAAGGATTATTTATACATTAAAGAAAGTTGGTTATATTGTGTTTTAGTTGAATATCCCAAATATTACAGATATTATATAGGTATGGATTTAGTATAATGCTGTTTGGTATTGATCTTACAAGATAAGATTTGTGTTTAACAATAGTAAGGTATTTAGCTAAAATATAATTGTATATAGTGTATGAAAGTATTATATTGTAGATTTTATATTCTAATGTAAAATAATAACAGTATTAATAATATAAATAATCTTCTTGTCTGTAATTTTCTTTGTACTAGTAATATGAGTTAGTTGAAAAGTTTTATTTTAGATTAGTTTAATTTGTTCAGATTGTTTGTTATTAAGTGTGAACTAACAACTCAAGAATTTAAAGGGTTAGTTAGCTGAAATAGAATAGATTATAGAATTAATAAAAGAAATAGAAGAAGGTTTCGTGTTGGTAGCTAATATCAATTTAATTAGCTTAACTTGTATATCTGCTATTTGGTAAAAGAATGAAGCAGTTTGAGTAATTTAAATTATTTTTTTTTAGATTAAACTATCCATAGTATATCATCTATATAGACTAATACTGAGATTGAAGCTTGAAGGTGTTTGCTAATTCTAGGTTGTAGACTAGTTTGCCATGAGGTAAATAAAGTATATTTAGTGAATTGTAAGAAGATTTTGTGGATAAGAAGGTTATAATAGATTCTTCAAAAGAAGAATGTGATGGTTTCTTCTTTGACAATGTTATTTTGACTGTATAGAGATTAATGTGCCCATGATTAGTGATAATTTTATTTTGATGATTTGATAGAAAATTGGTGAATATATTGATAATTAGAGAAATAGTTTGAATAGATCAAGGTTCACAAAGTCATAAGCTTTACTTATATCTTGTAATAATAGCTAAAGCTCTTTTGAATTACAAGAGACTTCTTCAATTATATTGTTAAATATATAGATAGAAATAGCAATACAGTTTTCTAAAAGTACAATATAGTTGTAAGAAGAAAGAATTTCATGTTTAGTAAGTATATAGTTTAGTTGATTGGTTAAAATTTGATGTATAATTTTTTAATGTGTTTCAAAAAACTAATAGATTTAGTATTAATTAAATTGCCACCAAAGATAATTTTTTAGAAATTGAAAAAAAATTCTTTCTTCTTTCTATTGTTTAGGAATTGAGTTAGTATTAATACATCTATTGAATAGAGCTGTGATTGCTTGCATAACAAACATTTATACTTGGCAGGAGTGATGTATATCAATTATAATCTAGGGGATTATAATCAATATATACTCTAAAAAAAAATTTCTCAATGCTTACCCTTATGAAGTAACTAAAGAACCACAAATAACCCAAAGAACTAAATCTTATTACCATTGAACCTGGTGCAACTGCACCCAAGCATCAGAATTAATTCTGATATCCGAAATTAGAAAAAGTTTATATAAAATATTCAATGCGGTAACATCATATTATGCTATAAAAAGCATTTAATTAAATCTGTCAGAAACGGATTACGATTCTGAATACGAACCAAATAATATTGATATGAAACTGTATACTACTGAAGAAATGGAACGAATAACCCTTAGTAACTGCAAAACATAACAACTAAAGAAGGCATTACTATGGTACGAAAAGGAATTTACAGACTGCCGAAGATTAGGTCAATACCTAAGTGACATGAAAGCAAAGATTACAGCGGCACAAAATAAATGCTATATATGTATATTCCCAGAAAGTCTAAGGAACAATATATTAAAAGAATTAAAAACAAACCCGCATGTATATCAACTTCAACCAAATGCATATCCACATATACAACTTCATCAAGTGTTTAATTACCATATAAAACAAAGTAAAATACAAGAAAATGGACGTATAAAACAAAGAGAGATAATCAAAATCTGACCATATGAGGACCCGAACCAATTATCCGATACTATAGAAAACTTGATGGAAAACTATTATTTTTACGAAATGCAATAACCCAAAATAGTTGGTTATATCGCTAACCCAAAAGGTTACAAAATGATATAACGATCAGCTTCATAATAAAGTGGGCTAAAAACAAGTTGCCCAAAATTATGAAAAATCATGACTAATTAATTTACCGAATTAGATTTACACTTTGACCGGCAATCTGCTCGGACAATCGAATACACGTATCATATAATTATTTCACACTTTAGCTAATTTTTTCCAGCAACTTTGATTATAACTCACTCGTATAAGATCTTGATTGACTAACATTTACAAGTTAACCGTTTTTGTTTGCTGTAGTGATAAACTAATAGATGTACTGGACGCCCTATGAATTATACGGAATATCTAGTATTACATACGGAATTCGCCGCAAATTCCGTATTCTATGCAGAATATGCCCTGGAATGATATGAAATCTATAAAAGAAATGGCTTAATTCCTTATGTATTCCGTATATAAAATACGGAATTTGTGGCGAATTTCGTACATATGTAATACGGAATTATACGTACTAAATATTCCGTATAATTCAGGTATTTAGTAAAGTAGTACTGTACGGCAGTACAAATTCGGACGGGCATACGAAATTATACCAAATTTTGATCGTACGTACGATTAATATATACTTGCAAGTTTCAATTTTTATAAATCACTCTTTTTGACGGTTAGGGTTAGGGTGAGCACTAGTATTGTCCTTTTTTCATGTTAGGACTTATAGGAAAAGTAATTTAGATTTTACGAAATTTTTCTTTACAAACCGTACGTACTACGTATCATAATTTCATACAACTCCGTCCTAATTTACGTTTCCGTACCGTACTATATACTTTACTATATTCCCGTATAACAGATAATTCATTTAAATTCCGTAAAACTTTTTCATAACGACGTACGTAAAAGTATATTAAATTAATATATCAATGCTATTATGATCAATACGTTACAGCTGTTTTCATTATGTTTGGGGACATCTGGTAAAAAATTGGCCGAATGATTGTTTGCCGATTCGATAAGTCATTGATTTCAGTATGATCAGTTCAGTATAACGTTTATTATTTACGAAGATAGTATAAAGCCAGGTACGTACGTACGTACGTACGTACGTTTTAAATTGATTAGTAAATTGAAACACGTGAAACATAATATACTACACGCAGCAGTGACAATTTTAGTCGATAATGGTCAGATAACCAATATCGATATAACTCTGGTTAATTATGATATTTTTGAAGAATATTCGCTGGAAAATAGTCGAAAAAAAAAAAAAATTTTAGAAGGGTAGTCATGTAGTATTTTATATGTTTCGCGTTTTTTAAAACGTACGCACTGTACGTACCTGGCTTTAGCTGTATATAATAAACCTTACACTGATCATGCCGAAATCAATAACTTATCGAATCGGCCAAACAATCATTCGGTCAATTTTTTTACCAGATGTTCCAAAAATAATGAAAACAGATGTAATAAATTCGCAAAACCGAATCAACGAAAATCGCATTTATAATATAAATAAACATAAATATTCGCTATATATGCAAGAATCATTATCTTAAAATTTGAGCTTTTATTTATTTATTAAATTTACAAATTTTACCAATGGGGGTATTTTTACTATGCTGAATTATAAGATTCTCTGATGTTAATTTTGAAACCCTTAATCTGCTAAAATGACAGAAATTTTCTGATCTATATAATTGTAAATTCTTTTTTTTTGCAAGAATCTTAGAACTACGTATAACTATGCTATAGAACTATATTACTATATTACTATATTAAGATATTATCTGTTGAAGATAAAGCGACATAGTTCGGTATCGTATTTGGTATCCGTTATCTTAACAATTTTACATATAGCACTGCAAACATCCGGAATGCCTGGTTGGTGCCTAGCCCTTTAGTAAAAAAAAAAAAAAGAATGAACAAATAGTAAAATGATATTAAAGTAAATAAAATTTTTCGCACCATGCAGGAATTGTATCTTCACACTGGCTATATGCATTCTGACTTCTAAACATGTAAACTAAATTTAATCCGGAAACGTCAACCGCGCCATTTGTCACGAGGTGAGTAATTAGAGCAGCCTTCGTCTGACCGGCTATACCATTACGACAGCCCGGAACCGTTGGTACATCATTAAATCCTCTATCATCCCATCGAATTACTAATGCCGGATCATCAGGAAATTGACACTCTTTCATAGCACGATAAACAATGCGGGCAGTTTCTTCATCTTGAAGAATCTCTGGAAGGGATGAAGGCACTAAACACATGGATCAGTTGATAATTCATACTAATTTTCACACATATAGTGATATTACTAAATACCTGTTCCACATTTTTGAGCAATTTTTTCAACTTTAGTTTTAAATCCTGTTATAAAGGTGGTTACTAAATTATACTATTTGACAAAAAAAAAATATCGAAGGAAGAATACTTTTATGGATATATTTAAGAAAACTTGACATATTTCATGTGTGAGAATTTTAAAAAGCCTGCAAATGTTGTAACAATTGAGAATATAGAATTTTCAAAATGGCGAAATGTGATTACATAATAAAACTTTATCGATCTCGTGATCTAGTGATTAGATTTTGATGATTTTGGGCTTGTTGGAATCGTCTCATTGAGATGAACATTTTGGCAGTCGTTTTATTAAAAACAGACCAGTATTATCAAAGTTATTAGCGATTAAAGAAAATGACAAATTTATATCTGTTTAGTACAATTCCAAAAATTGGAGCATATGACTAACACTAACGTTAAAATGTTAAAAATGCAAATTTTTTTTAATTTTTAACTTATTCCGTTAATAAATTTAGAGTCTTATTGAGTCTTATTACGTTGAAAATTCCAAATCCATTTAAATTTTATTAATTTTGTTTTTTTATAAAATTTGTACGTAACATGATTTCATCGTTTAAATGAAAATATCACAATACCAAAATTTTCTATACTATATTACAATTAACAACCGTGAATGACAAAAAAAAAAAAAAAAGTAGTAAACGTGTAAATTAGTGTAAATTACAGGCTTCACACATCAAATCTAGTAATTTGTCAAATCACAAAATAACATTCCGAATCACTTTCAGTTTTTCCATTATCATAAATACCACTGAGACCGATAACCGCAGTACTTTTACCAGGATTCAAGGGCATGAGACCAATAACAGCAGCACTTTTACCAGGGTTTAATGGCATCTTTGTAAAGTTTAAAGGAGCTAGAAAAAGTAGTAAAAATAAAATAAAAAGAAAAATTAGAATTTAAAAAAATTGTTTTGAATTACGAAAAAAGACTCTTTCTTTCTTTACAAAAACTATAAAATAGGTATTGTCAAGTAATTGTCATTGTAATTAAATTATATACAATTTACGATATGATTAAATTAAAAAATATATATATAATTTAAATTATATGCAAAGAAATTAAGTCATATTAAATTAATTAAATTACAATTAAATTACAATTAAATTACAATTAAATTACAATTAAATTACAATTAAAATAATAATTTACCTATTTTATAGTCGAAAGGAATAGAGTCGGCAAAATGAACCAAAAAGAAAAATAAAATAAAACAAAAATAATTAAATACTTGGTTGCATGTGTGACCCAATTTGTTTGCTTGCCCAAGATTTTATGAATTTGGTGTTTGCACTTAAACTAGGCTGTAAAAATGGTTTAACAGGTTCATGTGTAACTATAAATAATAAATAATAATGATAAATAACAATAATTAATAATGATAATAATGATAATAATGATAATAATGATAATAATGATAATAATGATAATAATGATAATAATGATAATAATTAATAATAATAATTAATAATAATAAGTATGGATTAACAATATTTTTAGTAATATTATACCTGAAAGAAATTTAGTGTCAGAAAAAGATTTTGGAGTATAAGTATTAATGGAACGAGCGATTGAACGATCAATTTCATCGACAAATTCAAGAGGTTCCATAAGATCAGGATTATTAGTATAAATCGCACCGATTACAGTTACTAATTTATTTCCATGTTTCTCAGTAGCATATGCTTTATAAGCTTTGACCCAATCGAGATATTGATCATATACATGAGGGTCATTATCGTCATCAACTATATTTTGACGGCAAAAATTTATCACCACAATAGCAAATACACCACAATCTGAAGCCAAAAATAGAACGCATGGATCTTGAAGTGGATTATAAGATTCTTTGTTCCAATAAACATTCCAATGATCGTTCCAATGAGCGTTCCAATGATCGTTCCAATGGAAATCGTATAGATATTTAAATTCAGGTATATAACTCACAATATTGTTTAAGAGCTCATCGGGATTTGGTATGGAATTTGCGACCTCCTCTCTCCAATAATGTCGTCTCCACCGATCTATTTTACAAATATAATCCAAGAAAGGTCTATACCAATCTTTAGTAATGGAGATTATATGATCTATATTATTATCATGATCAGGTAAATTCCAATCATAAGAAAAGGTAATTTCTGAGTTGTTATTAGGAAGATATTTTCCTCCAATATAATTAAAGTATTTTACGGGTTTAAAGAGACGGGCAATTTGATCCAAGCTCTGCTTTGAACAAATGTCCCCATGAAATAGTTTTTGTGACATAATTTGAGGTGATATTTTATTATTTCTTCCTTGGATTCCTTGAAAAATAATTCTACACAGTTTAAGAACTAAATTTTGTACATCCCTTTTGTAGTCGTTATCCATAACGTGAGAAGTAACACATTCAACACATTTACATTGATGTTCCATCTTGCAAAAAAAAAAAAAAATCAAAAAAAAATCTAAATTAATTGGAAAATTTTTTAAAAATTATTTTGGTTTAAAATTATTTTGTTTTGAAAAATTATGAACAAATATATGTTGTCTTTATCAAAAAAAAAAATCATCAAAAATTAATATGCCAGTATGAGGGAAGAAATTGGTTTTTTTTGTCCAAGAAATTCATTAACGTCAACGTTAATATTTAATAATAATTATAAATTATTATTTAACCGATAAAGATCAGCAAGATTTGACATATTGTTAGTCTAGTCGATATTGAATTAGGATACGACAGATGGCGTTTTTCTTTTACAAATATACTATTTAAAGTTAACACTGAACGTAAGTGGGCACAAACAAACACAAACTTCTAATATACGTACATATGTACATACGTACGTACGTAGGTATCTGGTATGTACGTACATACTTTATATAATATCGAAGGTTGCAGTACTCAACACAATGGATCCACTTATGGCATATTACAAAATGTAGTTTTACGACTATCTCTGCGATTACACGTGCATTCACATAATCTTTGACATAATCTTTGAAGACTATTTTTTTTCAAAGATTAAATTCCTTTAATATTACTCAGCAATATTTATTTAACGAAATAACAATGATTTGCATTTATTTCACGGCTTCGTCCGTTAAACTTCAAACTAATAAGGTATAATATATAGAATGTTGATTCGAGAAGACATAAAAGACAAGGAATATTCAAGATTTCTCATGCATAAAATTTTCAATCAAAACGAGTCGATAAAATATCTTGAACCTAATTGCGTAAATGTAGTAATCTATGTAGTGCAATTAATTACCTATACTATATCGTTATCTTTATTATGATGATATAACAAATTATGGATTTATTACAATTTTATTTGGAATCGTGTGATGTATATTTGCATTACAGCATTAGCGTGCATAAATTTTCATCAATTTCTTTATACATATACAAGTACTCTATATACAGATATATGGGATAATCTCGTCAAACGTTTTAACAATGGCATCTAGACAAAATTATATTTACTGTTAACTGTATAAATCGACCGATTAATAACGATAAATGCAATTCTTGCCTTATTTAAAATGATTCATGAAAAGGCAATGATTTACGCGTAACGTTACTTATGTCTGTTGTATGTTGTGTGTTACTTGTTACTTATAATTACATACAGTATATTACTTGTCACTACTTGCCACTACTTGCCACTACTTGTCACTACTTGCCACTACTTGTCACTACTTGCCACTACTTGCCACTACTTGCCACTACTTGCCACTACTTGCCACTACTTGTCACGTGAACGACATCGCACGTACAGTACGTACGTACGTATCTGGTGCAATACCTTCTTCTTGAACTAACTACAAAAGTTTAGATACTTGGTGAGAAAGTGAATAAGATGTTTACATTTTACACATGCCTGTGAGAACATATAAATGTACATACGTGCATATGCATAAATGGCTTTGTCATTAGTATTCGTCCTAGACTCTTTGCAACCGTAGGACTTGTCTCTTAAGGAAATTTCATAAGCCTGTTAGTTTAACACTCCAAATTCAGGATTTGATCCTATCATCAATGCGTACGTACCTAGAAGGTGACCGATTTAAATGAACTTTTACGTACGTACGCACATACGTGCGCACATATTAATACCTGATACCTGATACGTACTGTACGTACGCTTTTTTTAAAGTTTACGACTCTTCTGAGACTTTTAATACATTAATTCTTTATTACATATCATGTTTTAGTATCAATTACGTATTAACTTTACTAAATAATGATTGTCTGCTTGTAATTATATATATTACATGCTTTTTTTAACTGGATAAAAACTTTAACGCGTATGCATCTAAACATAGTGATATGGATGATATATGTAGAAAAGATGATATTTATGTAGAAAAGATGGAAAAATCTTATCTAATCAGTGATTTTGAAATTTGTACTTCTGTACGTACTCGTACATAGGTTACAAACTGATACTGTATATGTTCAAAATTTATTGGATAGTATTAGATAGTATTAGATGTATTAGATAGTATTATTTTATGATCTCTGTTTTTCACGTACGTACGTAATAACTATCGACAGTAAATCATTTGTGTTACAAAAAATTAATAAAGCTTTATTGTCATTACAGCATTACTGTGATTGTCATTATCGTATCGATATTATCGATATTATCGATATAATCAATATTATCAATATTATTGATATAATCAATATTAAATATTATTGATATAATCAATATTATTATCGATATCGTTAATTACTACGTTTCAATATTATCGATATCGTTCATCGTTAGTAATTTTTTTTATTAACGTTAATCTTCCTTTTTTACAACCTGAAAAACTTCAATTTCATCTATGGAAAATTTAGGTCTATCCAAAATTGAATACATATAGTCCCTCTTTTGACAACTATTTTTAAATATATATAAATCCCCATTTCCAAATCCAATAAATTGACTATCATCATCTGATATTGCAAATTGTGGTACTACTGCTCTACTTAATGTTGTAATTTGTGATTGTGATTCACTACATAATGAAAATATAAAACTTTCTGTAGATGTAATAAATTTATTGGTTCCTGTCCAACTTCTAGGATTATATCCTCCCATAATTATTTGTCCGGTTCTTGTTGGTCCTGGTATTGTTGTTGTTGTTGTTGTTGTGACTGATGATGTTGCTATAGTTTGAATTTCCGTTTGAATTAAAACCACTGTTGCTCCTTGATTAAAACATTTTCTCCGAAACTCTTCTACCAAAAATCCATCTCGACTTCCTCTTAATAATAATTTAAATCTGTATGGATTTTCTTCCGCTTGATCATATATTGAATCTTCTTTACGATCTATCCAACTTGCTATTAATGCTGTTCGTTTCGAATCAATAATCGTGGATTCAAGTGTATATTTAGGAATTCTTGATGGTAAAATTGTTGTTTTAGGAATACTATTTGGAATAATAAAATATAATTTCAACTTTTCTCGAAGTTCTTTTGGTAAAAGTTTTTTATATTTTCGAACTTGATAATAATATTCTGTACATGTTAATTGATAAAATCTAACATGTTGAACACTCTTTCGAACTATTTTCTCTAATTCCTCAATTTCTTCTAAACTCCAATTTTTTGGTTCGGGTTCTTTAATATCGGTTTGCGCTAATCCCCATCTAATCACACTTTCCCAAACTTCTATTTCTTTCATTTGAAGATTATCATTAGAAATGATGGAAATTAACGCATCTTCTTGTAATAATCCAAAGTCTTTAGAAAAAAATAATAATTGTGGCTCCGAAATAATTAAATTAATACAATGTGATAAAAGTTTTCCAAATAATGATCCATTGCATGAAAATGTATTAAATACTTGAACTATATTTTGTCGAAACCAATCTATTGAATCCCATTCCCACATTGCATTATTTGCATTATTTGCATTATCCTCTCCCTCTCCTTCTGATTCTGGTGTTAGACTATTATTAGAGACCGATAACCTAGATATGATGTAGTCTTGAATATAATCAACTAATTCAATAAGATTAAATTCATCTGATGCAACAAGTAGATCTAAAAGTGTGTTTTCTATAATGCTAGTATCTAAATCAATATCTCCACTATAAATGTATCTATTAAATAATAAATGAATATGAATAAATGAATATTAATAAATGAATATTAATAATAAATGAATATTAATAAATGAATATGAATATGAATAAATGAATATTAATAAATGAAATATATCATATTAATAAATGAAATATATCATATTAATAAATGAAATATATCATATTAATAAATGAAATATATTTATAAATGAATATATTTATAAATATTTATAAATGAATATATTTATAAATATTTATAAATGAATATATTAATAAATGAATATTTCAATTTGATTTAAATAAATTATTATTAAATTGTATAGCTTACTTTAAAATAATCCTAAAAACATTTGGGTGAACATTTGTCTTTTTAAAAGTAATTATATCTCCTTCTTTTTTGGCCCAATTTGTTGATAAGGCTGCTCGAAAATATGGTGATCTAGCACGCAAAATAACTGAATGTGCTTTAAATATTTCAACATTTGGTTCTTCTCCTATTGTAATATGTAAGTTGAAATCATCAGATTCGGTGTAAATACGAGAAATATCTCTCACAACAGTAAATGATAAATCTTGGCGTAAATCTTGAGAATTATTAGTAATCATTTTTTTTTTATATTATTATTGTTCTTTAACTTTTTTTATCATTTTTTTTTAAATGTCTTGTTTTAAATAATAATCTAAAATTTCTTGAAAAAAATTTTCCAGTAAAAAACTTTTAAAAAAAATAGTTTGCCAAAAGTCAAGCAATTTAAATTCATTAGAAATTTATCATCGTTATAATCATTAATGTTAATCTTGCATAAATGTTTCGTCACACGGAATGATTACGCCAAATAAAGGGATTTTTCGTTAATTTTATTTACGCGGCTTATTTAAAATTGACATCCTGTAATACATAACTACATATTGTATATGTTAACCTGAGACTTAACAGGCAACAATACTTGATTTTTTTGTTTTATCTTCATAGATGGCTTATTTGGCTTAGTGTCAATTCCCGCTAATTCTTAAGTATATATACTTTGAATACGTATGATCGGTTCAAATGGACTGACATTTTTTTCATTAATAATTTCCCTGTCCCTTATTTCTGAGGATTCTTATTTCCGAGAATTTCCTGTTTCTTATTTTCGGGATTTCACTCATTCAAGTTATTATAGTTATTATGTACTCCCAATTATAAGCAAACATTTTAAGGCTTACTCAGTCATATGTTATATAAATATTAATAATGGCTAATCCTGAATTATCTTTATTACAGTATTGTCGTTATGATCTATAAATACGTACTACACACATAACTTGTTCAAAAAAAGCCTTGCCACATGACTTACATAGCCTATATTATTAACGTTAAACTTTTCGTGCGGCTTATCATTCGATCCGTCAAAGACGAATCGAATGATATGAAAATTGCATGGTATCACCTAGAGTTACAATTTAGCATATTATTTGTAAAAATAAACTTAGAATCACTAAACTAAAACATTTCACTATATATTTAATGTTAGTGTTAATGTTAACGTTAGAATTGTTAGAATTTGAATGTTTCGATTTCTTTCGATTTCTTTCGATTTCATGTTACATCTGTTCTTGAAATTTAATTTAACGGATAGCAAATTTTTTAGGTTAGTGATGTTAGGTGGAAGTTAGAAACTTTTATAATTACGGATATATTTCTTTATACAGTTAGGTTTGTTTTTTATGGTTATCTTTACATTTTCTAATCATTTACTAATCATTTTCTAATCATTTTCTAATCATTTACTAATCATTTTCTAATCATTTTCTAATTAAAATTAATATAATATCCTCGAAACTTGGACAAATCTTAAATTTTCGCAAGGTTTATATTTGACTCGTAGATTTACAAGAAAAGTAGCTCTCTCAGTCTGTTTAACTAGTCTCTTCAATTCTAAAGGTAGTTAAAATTATTAAAACATAATCACTAATATGTAAAAGGCGGATTGTAATAATCGATTATTATTAAAAATCGGAAAGACTAACCTAAACAACTTTTAATTCATTAAAAGTAAATTGTTTATTAAAATGCTGTTTCAAACTATTTTTATTACAAGTAAATCTTTACATGATTCGAACTACAAGACCGTGTTTTAATTTAAACAAATTGTTTTACGTCAAAAATCAGTAAGCTAACTCCATAGCGGTAGGATCAACTTTTAGGGCTTATCGTTATTCCTTGAATTTGTATCATTGTTCCTTTTTGAGACTAGTTAAACTAGAGCGTTTTATACGTAATATTTTATTCATTTGTCGATCATCTCCGTAGTTGTCGTTATTTCTGACTTTTAGGATGCATAACGGATATAAGAGGATGAGACGAAATGGAAATAGAAAAGTTTTTTTTTTTTAAAATTTTAAGACTCGACGTCTAAATAATTAAATATATCTATTTAAGTATCGTCAAATGAGAAACCCAAGAAATCTTAATATAGATTTCTATATTTAGACTTTCTGGTTTTCACTTGAAGACATTTATTTACAATTATGATTATTGTGATTGTTAAAAATTTATAATAACTAAATTTATTTATTATACTATAATATGGTATATATATTTTATTAAACTTTAGTATATATTTTATAGTTTTATTACTATTTTTACATAGTTTATATTTTATTTTATTGGTTTTTTGTCACTTTGGTTGTCTTGCCAATATTTTTTATTAGCTTCAATTTGTTGGTAAAATAAAAAGCATATTAATTGTTCTAATTTGTAGTTTGACATCCTGTAGTTACTTTTAAGAGCACTTATAAGTGATTAGCACCATTAGGCTAATTCAGAAAACCTTGTTAGACTACTGCTTTACAATTGAATATCACCAATCTGATGATATTTTCTTATAAAAAAATAAAACAAAGAAAAATATTAATACTAAGGGAAGTGTCATTTATCATCTGATTATTTTAGAATGAGGTTCTCTAACAAAGTATCATGTACATTGGTATACAATTAATCAGTTGGAAATGAATGTAGCGAAAATGATTGGGACCTATAAAATTTTATCATGTAAGGGAGGGGGGAATATTTACTATTTACAAAAAATCAGGTGATAAATGACACTTCCCTAATACTAAAATAGAAGAAAAGGAAAAATAAAAAAATCTGATAGTTATAATTATAAATTTGTGTCAGGTCTTAAAAATTATATATTAGGCTATACAAAAAAATTTTCTAGTTTTCATAACATAGAACTGTTTAAACAAACCTGGCTGGCCGGCTTTTTTTTTAAATTTTATATATAAAAAATTTATAAATTTTTTAAAAAATTTTTAAAAAAACCTATCTGGTTATTAAAACATATAAAAAAATTTTTACAAGTTTTTAAATTTTGACTTGGCCAAAAAAAAAATAAAACTAAACTAGAAAAACTAAACAAAGTAGTTAAATATACTATTAGTTATTAAGGGTAGGGTGTACAAATTTCCAATTTCATATAAAATAGATTGTACATCAACTTTGTGTATATGATATCAT